CAATAGCAAAAATAATCTAAAGCACGAAAATGTGTACCCTCAAGAAAGCGAGCGTAATGAAGAAATTCCAATGCACGCCATACTCGACAACTTGCTGCGGATAATCAAACAGATATAAAAGCAGTGCTCGCCCGACTCCCAGGCACAAAAGTATTGTACTGCTCGAATGCTTCTGAAGAAAAAACCTGCAATTCGCATATTTTGATTAGCAGCTAAAACGAAACTCAACGAAATTTCCTAAAAAGGCTACGTAGAGCTACGTGGATGAAAACATGCAGTTCCCAGACATGACTGGAAAAAAGCTCAGAATAAAGCGCAGTGAGAAAGTAGCCAACAACATCAATGGCGAGAAAGAACTCAACGATTCTTTCCCAATTTTCTTGCCAAGAATATTCACTGTTTGTATTTTTAAAAATTTCTACAACATTTCATATTAAAACAAAAAATTTCAAAGAGATATTACATGCTCTTCTCTTAATCTAATCCCAACCAACCATATCCGGAAACTGCATCCCTGTCGAATCCAGAAAGTTATATGAATAAGCGTCTGAAAGAGCAGGGAAGTCATGGCATTTTGAGAAAGAATAATAAAATTCTTATCTGGGATCAGACCTTGTTTGTGTTGGTGGTTGCGGAAGTCTGGCTCTGCCCGGAAAATCACGAAAAACATCGACAACAGCAAAACAAAAAACAAATGTAGCTGTGCCAAGATCCATAACACTGCGGCCGTATGTGTAGGTTTTGGCGAAACGACGTGGGAAGACATCGAAATCAACACCGAGGATTGCGATTGCTGTTGCAACAAGAGCTACTGACCTAAAATGCGAAATATTTTGAACAATCTTTATCGCAACAGTGCGTTTATTCTCACGCATATCCATTTTTAGCAGTGAACATCGGTCGTATTGATAAGAGATACTTTGTACGATTGAAAAATGAGCACAGGAAATTCTACAAAAAAATGAGCACCGAAACATTCCTATTCAGGTTTTTTAATCCGATTTATCTTATTCACCCTCCTTTTATTGCTTTTTAAACCTTACTTTTTACATAAATACACATCATCTAAAATTAAAATTACGATACAGAAAATTCTACAGACATGATAAATGCGTCCTTTAAATTTGATCTAACCTCAAATAAGTGATGAATTTGGTTGGTGAATGTTGATCATCAACAACCTGATAGAATATCTGACGCAGTGTTGGCTTTTCACGGGCAATAAAACAGTATTCACAGAGGGAAAAAATGATAAGCGAAATTAATGCAACTGATTGGAGGAGAAGTATCACAGCGATATGATCGGAGAATAATGTCAGTGACAAAATGATTGGTAGTACAATGAACATGAAATCGAGTGAAAATTTGAGCCTGAAATTTATCAGCCAAAACTCAGAAGTTCTAGCTAAAAATTTTAAAAAAAAAAGCGCTTAAAAGTATGCCTCTTAATCGATGAAAAAATTCATCAGAGTATAAGAGTAACAGCGCTTTAGATGATGCTCAGCATACACCACGGACAATTCGATGTGGCTAAAGCCTTATGAAATGATTTTTCAGACGAATAACACCAGAATTGCCAAGTAAGCTGAGCATCAGGAAATGAGGTTCAGTTGTGGTGCTGAATAGGAATATATATGACTTAATGGACCGAAACATTTATGTTCATCTAATTTTTTCCGTTTATATATATGTATGTAAATATTTACATATACGTAAATCACAAATAATAACTTTGTCTGCCTCCTGAACGGACCAAGAGCTCAAAAGTTATATATACACAACAGCTATACACATATATTTTCTTCTAGTTATATATACATATATGTATTGTATATATATAT